CAGAGGAATTGATTTGCAAGGTGTGAGGAAAGGAGGTTAATTTGGCAGATATTTATAGCCAATTTGCAAGGGAGGCGTGTCGCGCCAAGGACCAAGGTGCGCTGCAACTTTAGGTAGGGAGAAGGGTGGATCTGGTTATGATACATGTCGCGATGTAGTTGGTGCTGCATCGCAAACGTCAAGTAAATTTCTCGAACCTCGAAAAATTGCATCTCTGTTATACGAGCTCCATTTTCGACGTTCTTTATATCCATCCGTAGCTATCGATGAGTACTACAACTTTCATTTAGTCTTTGTCGGCTAATTTTCATCATATTTTAAATTTAATAGTATATGAAGACTACGTAACAAAAGACCGTGTAAATTTCATAAGTTTTTTGTACGAACTCCGTTCTCGATGTTCTTTATATCGACGGATTGGTATTTACGAGATATTCAACTCTCGTTTACATGGTTTTGGCTAACACTCAACCAATTTAAATTTCTATTTCTGTGTCACACACTGTTGTACCGAAACTTCAAAAAATCATAACTTCTTCATACAAATTCAGATTTAGGTGTTCTTTATATGCATGCTCTAAGAATTATGATTACTATGATTTTTATTTAGATTACTTAGGCTAATAAGAAATCTATCTCTAATTCCTATTTTATGACACACTTTGTCGTATAGTATTGAATGCGAAACTTCGAACAATCATAACCTATTCATACAAAGTCAGATTTGAACATTCTTTATACCCATAAAATCGTCATCACAGCCACTACAACCTTTATCAAAACTATTTATCCTAAATAGTCTGTTGTTTTTAAACGTTTATTTGACATAATTCATTGATTTTATAATGATAATGTTTTATTCAAATAATATAATATTTGCCCATAAACATGTACCCAATCTACATATAATTTATAAATCTTTAAAATGTCTAGCCTGAATTCGCGGGCGTTACACACGATCATATACCTATTCTTATGCATAATATGGCATAAATAAGGAATTCATTTACCAAGAAAATAGAATATAAATCATTTTATCTAGCTCAAACCAATGTGCTAGGACCTTTAGAGGCAGACGTAATATGGTGCCATGTGGAAATGTCAAGAGTCTTCTAAAGGAATCTTGTATTATTGATCATTTTCAAGATATTGTCAAGATATGCATAAAGATTTAAAACTTTAAACATTTATCATTATCTATTTGCACAAATTTTACATTCTAAGATTGTATCTTGTCTTTCCTATCTTAGAAACACTTTTCGAGTTAACACGAAAGCGCCTTGCATAGTCAGAATGTAGTTTCTCATGATTAAGTATGTCTTATTCATATAAGATTAGGAATATCACTATGCTCCTACTACTTCCTAGTAAACACAAATGTTATCTTCATTTTGATATAAAAGCATACCTTGTGTTTTCATTTTAGAAGGATGATTCCAACCTTGACATGTTTGATTTATATCTACAAATCGATCTTAAACCTTACACATTTTCTTAGGATAACGTATATTAAGAAAACCTCCTGACAAAGCTATATACATATCTTCAAGTAGGTATCTATTAAGAAAAGCGGTTTTTCTTGAAATCTATTTGTCATATCTTATACTAAGAATATGTAATTATAGTAAATAATATCCTTGTTTATCTAATCATAACTTATGATAAGGACCATAGTCAATGACATGAGTATGAGAAAATAGGTTTATAACAAGCCTTGCTAAATGTGTATAGATATCCATGTATGTATTCTTTCAAAAGGAATTACTTACTCCTTCTAGCCTTGATATAGGGAGGAAGATTAATTAAGTCCACACTTGATTATTATACATGGATTATATATCAATGTTCATGACTCAAAGTCATTTATCAGATTCAGGATATGACATAACATTTAGGTAGTTGATGGATTTGCAAGAAACCATCAAGAAGAACTCATCAATGAGAAATTCCACAATTCTCAAGTCATGGATATTTTTACCATTAATGCAAATAGTTTGTGTATATGAATAGCTGTTATTCAGGTTCAACAATTAGTTGTTCAAACTAGTGCTAACTTCTGCTACATTTGGTTATGGTTCTTGAGATGCTTCAAGTTCCATGTGCCTCCCACTTGCTTTGTTATTAGAATCTCGATTTCTGTTAACTCGGCTTTCAGAGGAATAAGAGAACTTATTCTTGGTGGGTTTCTATATAATAATCCAAAATTTGACTACATATTTTTTGTCTACTCGTCATATCACACATGGATATACTTTGACTACATAGTTTTTGTCTACTCATCAAAGGAATTTTCTTTGTCCTGTTAAGGTAGAATGTACAAATAAACTATGATAACATAATTTTTGTCTACTCATCATATCACACATAGATATACCTTTATAAATACAAGTTACAGATAGTGTTTGAGCTTACCAATTCACAATAAAATTATAAAGAAAACCCCTAATATACATTTCAGTTTGAAGAATAAGAGATATTATCATCTTAGAATTACTAGTGAATTGATCCATGAAGTAATATCTAAGTGCGAGTCGTTCCAATATTTAAATCTCCATTCAAGTACTCATATTTATTTAGCAATATCTATGTTATGTCTAATTGCAAGATCAAATATAGATTCTAAAAGTATGAAATCATGTTTTAATTAAAGAAAAGATTGCGCATAAGAGTAAATAAGATTATGAATTGAGTTAGAGTAATAATGTTCAATTAAAACATTGGATGTAAGAACTTGCAAAAATCTTACTCTACATTCTAAATAACATCCCTATTTATAGGTTTACAAAAAGGGATTCAGTTAGAGAATAACTAATAAGGTTACGACACCTAGGTAATGATAGACTGTCAAACAATTACACACATGTCATTAAGAAACCTAATTGTTTACATTATGAAACCTAACTGGTCATCGGAATAATACAATGAAGACTTAAGATATAACAATTGTGAAAGCTTTCACAATCAGTCTCAGACACAACACATACAGACTCTGAGACCTAACCATCCCCCCCCCCCTTTGTGTCGAGTCACAAAAGGAAGTCTTCATTTGCCTTCATCAAAAACTTAAGGATTGAATCCAAGCACCACTGTCCGAATCGTGATCCACCACTATCCAAATCGTGATCCACCATTTGATCATGTCGAACACAAGTTTTATATCATTCTTCGAATTCATTATGCATAGTTCAACCTTTGAAACAATGTTGTTCGGTGTTGATGTCTTGTAGCAGTGCTTGTCTTGCATATACATCATACGATTCTTCAAAATTTGTTAATTAAAGTCTTATATACAACTCCACATGGATCTTTCTGTGTTTTTCCATCCTTCATACTTTCAATCCTATATGGTTTATCACAAGGATCGATAGTAGTCTTCTTCTTCAGAAATTCAACAAATTCAACATCCATATTACAAATCTTTACGAAGTAAAGTCTAATCATCTTCTTCATATGGATAATTTGATTCACAAATTTTTCGTTTTCCTTATTGCAGATATAAAATAACATAAAACAGTCATGATGATTCATGGTTGGCAGATAAGCAAACGAAAACTCAAACTCCTCATTTTCACTGCCCTATATAGCCTTGAATTTATAGTTCACAAACTCGTCATTCAAACACCCTTCAGCTTTGCAATCTCGGATGGTAGATATTTTCTTAAGACTCCAAACCTCATACTGAGGCCTTGATTGAGAAGAGTAAAACTCAAAGAGCTTTCGATTCATCGCACCATTCTTCATCGTAAAATCACATGTGTTTTTAAAATTCTTCTACAAAATGCCTTTGGAGTCATTGGAAAGTCCAACTAATAAGAGATTTTGTTTCCCAATGGAAATCATGATCTCGTATTAATCCAATATTGTTCAACATGCTTGGATGTCGACTCCATCATCCTTTCCACAATCCATTCAGGCCAAATAGCTTTCAGAGTAAGTTACGTAACCTCTTTCTCTTTTTGCTCAGCTTCTTTCTGCCTAATCTAAATCTCTAATTGCTTCAATTTATCTAACTCCTTGTCGGTCTTGGTTTGATCATCCTCAGGATTAACTTCTGGTGGATTTACAATCACAATAGTGTCAGATCCTGATGGTTTAGTTGGAACAACATCCTTCAATTTCTTACTCAATGATTGAAAGCTGATATTCACCTTCTTAACTGCTTCGGGCTTCTTTGTCATTGTGGCCACCACATAAAGATTCACAACTTGTACCCCTTATCCCCTTGTTGTGAACTAGCATTGCTAGTCGTAACACCCTCAGTAATAAAAAAACTTTGAAAAGAGGGGTTGAAGCTTCGTATCAAGAAGAGCATAGATGTAATCTAGGTAGGGAGCATCCTTGTTTTCAAATATTTTCGTGAGCCTTTGATTAATATCAAAATTACAAGCTTCCACTAAAAGAAGATCATCATCTTTATTCGCAAGTTCTGTCTGTATAAGACTGAGTTCTTGCTTGAGTGGGTTAATCTTCACATCTTTTCTTCCAAGTTCATCAGCTAGCCCAGTTGCAGCATCAAATGAATTAACAAAGTGTTAACGTAATTATTAATTGTTGAACTATGGACTATATTAATTTTCAAAATGAGTGTACGAAGCTCCTTCATTTCATTAAGATATGTTTCCATATTTTAAGCATGTTTCATAACTATTTGCTTATTCTTCGTAAGTAATATTGTACTCTCAGAAAGCAATGTCTTGATAGTTGCTTCATGAACAGAAATCATTGATTAGAAATTACTTGAGGTAAATGATTCGCCATAATGAACAATCATATTGATCTTTCTATTCAGTTCCCTATAATCTTTCCTTATCATTGGCAAAGATGTCGTTTCCTAATCCGATTCACTTTCATCATTTAAAAGTGAAGGTGCCAAGACAACATCTACAAAATTTGTATCTCCAAAACCAGTATGTTTCCCATAATCATCAATAGAAACATCAGGTCTGAACATATGATCCTCAATATTCTGTACTTGAGTAGTAGTAGTATCAATCGGAGTATCAACTAACAACTAAAGTAGTTGTAGTTATTATAGTAGCTGGAGGTGTAGTTGATGGAGTTATGATCAAAGTTGAATGTGGTGATGAAGCAATGAAGGGTTGAGTGGTGATAAGAGGATTACATGATTGAGAGAGATTAACAATCAGTTGAGAAAGAACAAAATGAAAAATATATTCTTGGGTATGGGTAGGGATAGAAATAGTAGTAATCGTCGGAACAGAAGATACCTTGGGATTCTCTGAGACCTTCATAGTGTTAGTAGCCATCAGAATCTTAGCAGACTGTGGTTGCTCAGAATTCTTTGGAATTTCGAAAGACTTCGCAATATCATCTTTAATGCAAACATCACTAATGGTTGTCTCATCTCCTTCTTCATGTACTTCCTCCTCATCAATAATTGAAGGCTTGTCTATCTTCAAGATGATCGTTCATTGTTTTTTAGGCTTTGAAATGACAGCCTCTTCAACCATTTTTCCTTTCTTTTTCCACCCGTACCAGTTCTTCTTGTAACCATATTCGTATCAAAAAACTGCTTGTAAATTTGCAGGAACATGCCTCGGATAAACCTTTGGAATTTTATTATAGATAAAAATAAATTTATTATTATAAGGCACTTTATCAAGCATGGCACTGGGAATCAGACCAACATAAGAAAAATCCACACCTATAGGAAACACCATATTCAAAACATTAAGTTTCGGAAGCTCATCCATTTTGACATCCTTCATCTGAGGACACTTGTAATGATCATGAGCATGCTTCACAAAAATTGACAGATGTCGTTTCTTGATAAAGAAGTACTAGCATAAAATTGATTCCACAAAACTTGAACTAAGTCAATTTTGTCACCAATGTAAAGACCATACATCAGTGAGAGAAATAACTTGCTAGCAATATCGGATCATGTAGTTCTTTCTGAGAAACATCTGAAGAAGATTGTAAACATTGCATTCCACGTAATTGGAAAGAACATCTTATTAAACTTAGACAACTAAACCAGAACGTAAGTATAGCCCATTTGATGAAGAACCTTCAACATGTTGCTCGAAGTAAGATTGTTAGGATGATACAGAGATTCATCGGTGGATAAACCCAAAAGTTTGCAAAAGTTTTCCCTAGAAATCATTATTTTATGACCTTGAATTTCAAAGCTAACCACATCTTTTTCCTTGATGTAACTAGTAGTCCAATAGGAAAGAATTAGATAAGAAAGAGGGACCACTTCAAAATAGGTAAGGGCTTTCCTCAAGATTAATGCATTAAGGCACTCAAACAATGGTTAAACTGAAACTGGATACTTTGAAGAATCCAAATTAGCAACTAAGTTCTAATTCTGCTTGATTGTTAGAGTAACTGATGATGCTTACTGATCCATTAAAGAAACATTCTCAGAAGTGACAACCATGGATAATATCTTGAGAAAGAACATGAAGAAAAAAGATGAATATTCAAAGGTTTTTGGGTAATTGTTTGAAGGTTATTTGAGAGTGTAAAGAGATAATTGGTAAGGGTAAAGGTATTTATATGGATAAAGGAATGCAAACAGTTATAATTTGAATTTCAAAAGTCCCAGAATTAATGGAGAGAGAAACCGCCAATTTCCAGCATTTAATGCCCATCCAATCACAACAAAGATGTCATTCTTGTTACCCATGCACATCGTCACGTATACAACTGACGAATCAGAATAAGCTAGCTAAGCACTTTCATAACCAGAAACACGCCATTTTTCCTTCAATAGTTTAGAAATAACAACTTTCAAAAGAACGATCAAAATTCACCATCGGAGTAATAGTCACCATCAGAATAAGAACCACTTTTGTAACTAGAACCAAGGCAGGGATTTTGGTGTTTCAACACAACCATGTTAACAATGATTTGATCATAAAGACAAAGTTTGTAAAACCTAATCTCAAGTTGGAATTCACCTGAAGGGTTTTAATTGATTTGAATGTCATGTGTTAAAGAAAATAGAAAGAAGAATGTAAAGTTTTTGGTATTTCACTAAAATCATGGTAACAATGATTTTAGATCATAAACATAGAATTGGAAAACCATAATTTCAAGTTGGTATATACTTGAATATTAAGGGTTTTAGTGAAATTGTGTGAAGTGAAAAAGAAATGAGATAAAAGATTGTAAAGATGTTGGCGTTTCACAAAAAACCAAGGTAATATTAATTTATGATAAAAAAGCACAGACTTTATAAACCATAATTGCAAGTTGGTATAAACTTGAAATATCAAGGGTTAATTAAACTTTTGTGAGGTGAAAAAAAATCAAGATAGAAGATGATATGGTTTTGGGTATTTCACCATTACGAAAACATTCGTCTTTTATCACAAAGATTGATTTCCACAAGTGATCTTTTATTTTGAATAAAAGATTTTGCTTTTGGAACCAACTCTTTTGGAAAACCCTTTTCTTTTTCGTAATGTTTTGACATATCCGTTTTTTGAACAAACTTTTGTTTTGAAACAACTTTCTTTGAGTCAAGTTTTTGTTTTGACAAATCCTTCTTTGGAACAAATTCTTGTATTGAAACAACCTTCTTTGAAACAAATTGTTTTTTTGCAACAACCTTCTTTGATTTTGTACTCTTATTGTAGTAAGAGTTTGGACCAAATTGAACTTTAGTGTTCGCAAATTTTTGTGAATAATTCTTCTGATTAGAAATCCTTGATGAATTATTAGACTTTGAATTTTGCAAAAGAGATTTTGAACATGAACATGAACAAGAAACGTTTTGTGGCTTTTCAAAATAATGGCCATCGGATTTTCCTAACTTTTTATGTTGTTCCCAACAATTCTTCCTATCTTGAGAATTTTCTTATACCTATATCTGCTAGCTTGATCAATTTTTTTCTAATGATTTTTGACCTTAACATCATGATCACACATCTTCGATTTCCCTTTCAGATCATTCAACTCATATTTCTGTTTTGGAATTGGTTTCGTAGTCTGAGCATTAGAATTTTCTAAATCAACCTGTTAAGTAGACTGTATATTTAAAGAGCCATAAATCTATCTAACCTTCACTCTCCATGACGTTTTCCCTGAAATGTCTATTGTTTCATCACGATGATCTATCAGAACTAACCAAAAATGACTTTCACAAGAATTAACATAATCACTCTTCATGATAGTGGTCAAATCAACAATATCAATTTTATCCAATCCTTTTGTAACAATCACTTGATTAGGAGTATTTTGGACTTTCGGAAAAACAATCACTTTTTCAACCAAATTTTCAGTACCTTTGATTTCAACAACATTTTCAAAATTAAGAGAATCTTCAAGAATCAAGTTTCTTTTTGGTTTTTCATTATTTAAAACAAATTTTGAACAGTCAGTTTCATCTTCAATTGAAATTTCACTAAGTTCACTTTCACCAAACTCATATTAAATTTCCACACTCTGAGACTCTCACAATTCAGTTTGTTACACAACAATATATGTTTATCATTGGAAATTTTTTGAATTTGTTTCTTTTCTTCTTCAATTAAAGTATCTTTCATCATTTTCTTAATTTCTTTTGTTTTCAAAAATTCTTCTACTTTTTCCATTCCAACCCTTTATGAGTCAATTAAAGATTCATTTGAAGATACGAGAGTTTCATATTCGTAAGATGTAGCATCGATTTCTTCTTCATTTAATTCTAAGAATAGAAGCATATCATGATGATATGGCACAATTATTATAAAGCTGAGTTAGTTATCTATATATTCTCTTAGCAATATGACAAAAATGTGTTCCTCTATGTGACATCCCCTAATTTCTCGGCCAGAAAAGACTGATTTAATTTATGCTTTTTAAAATAAAATCAGAGAAATCTTTTCAGAAGATATTGCGGAATAGGTCCCCAATATAAAACATGATAATGTTTATCAAAACCCTTCATTAAGAAGGTATATATTTTCCATATATATATCAAAACCTCGGGATGTCATGTTCCGATACAGATCAAAAGCATAAACTAGACATTATAAGTCTTACTACAGTTATTTACAACTACTGGCCTATAATCAAAAATCTCTCATCATCCTCCGACTATGCTCGGGGTCCACTATCTGTAATCATAAAAAGCTGAGTGGGTCAGGCTTGGGAGTCTGGTGAGCATATAGGGTTTTCAACCCACAATAATAATAACTTATTAAGTTCACCAATCAACAATAACCCTGATTACCCATTCCCATTGTCCTCACTTTACGTCCCTAAACACCTAACATAAGGGACTTAGCCTAAGGAATATCATCGGGTTGGACACTACTGCTAAGGGGACTCCTCAGCCATACATGTCCTAAAGGCAACCATGAAGGGGATTGGAGTATACCGATGAACATTTAGTTCATCAACACCTACAAGATGCGAACTTGCTAGTGTACCACTGGACTATCTAGAAAGGTCTGTGTTCGTCATCTATACTCCGCTAGACGACTACAACAACACCAACAACAACACCGACACCGAGGCCTCTCATCATT